CCTTAAAACGATGATGACTATCAGCAGGTGTTAGTCCAGTTCACGTTTTCCTCTCGTCTCTCTCGTAGCTGATTACACTGAGTCCAAAGCAGGGTGGGCCAGTCTTTAAAGACAGAGCAACAGCAAAACAGTGAGGTGCTTCTCTATCACGCAACAACATGCCAGCAAGTTAGGATTTCTTCTTCTTTTTATTGACATACTACTTTGTGGTTTTACATACACCCAGGTCAGTGGCTTTACCATGGAGTTTAGGAAAGTTCACATGAATCTAAAGACGGTACTGCTGACGATGATGATGTTCAAATGGGGTGAGTAGAGACAACACTTAATCCTAATTTCTGCGAAAAGCAACAGGTTACATAGGAATAGTTATTACATTGACATACATATACTCAAGAAGTATTTTAAATCGCATGTGCTTACGATATGGTCACTGACTAAAGAACATTATTAGTGCTAGCATTTTATCATTTGCTGGATGATTCTCACTTTTTAAAATCAGCAACAGTTTTCAGGATTGCCATCAAGCCTGCCAGACATGCTGCTCCGAGAACAAGTGTTTTTGGATGGTGTTTATTGGGCTCCTTTGTGCTCCGACAATTTACTAATATTAAAACTCAAGTAGGCAGCGTGCACCGTCCTGTGTTGAGGGGAAAACCACAAGCATGTGGAGCATTGTTATTTCAATTACTGAGGCTGTTGGACTTTCTCTGAAAAATATCTTCACTGAATTGTTAAACATGAATGGCTGATGTGTGATCAGATTAGTTTTGGTAGACGTTGTGCCTTGAGAGACATCGATCCTGGTGTTAATTTCAGGTTTTTAATTGCCGTTTTTTTTTGCCAGATTTGACATGTGACGAAATCAGAATGAGAGACATTTATATCTGTTTTGATTTTGTCCCTTAAAGCATTGTTGCATCAAGTTCAGTGTTTGAACCGGGATTTGTTTCAGTATTCGAATTTTATTGATTGACATAACCTATTAAGCAACACTTTTCTTTAGGTCTCCCTTTATAGCATTTAAAATCAAAATCCAAACAAGAAATAAATGGTTCAGAGCAGACTGTAATGTAGCTTTAAGGACATTTGCTGGCATTTACTAATGTACAGTACTAAAGTGCATCTTGTTAGTATTGAAACAATACTAGAGCGCCGTCTTACAACAAGAAGACTTAACTTAGCAAGATGTGAAGGATTTCTGATACCTATCATCAAAATTGAAGAGAAACTAACATGTAGACTGAAATTGATCTAAAGTTTTAAAAACATTCCAAACTGTCATTTTCATTTTCAGAAAATAAAAAATGACTGTCACTGTCTGACCTATTTCCTCTGTGGCACGTCTGATAGGTGCGACCGTCTGAACAGTCAGCATCAACCTTGTAGGTGATCTTTGGATTAACACGAATGACAGACAGGTCACATTATTGTAGGTGACCGTCTGCTGTGTGTGTGTGTCTCTGAGTTCATGCTCCTTCCACTTCCCATGACATCTTTTTGTAGAAGGTCACAAGTGGTACTTTAGTAATGTTTCTCTGATTTGAACACTCCTTTCAAAATCTGTACATTTGTTAATGTATCCCATCATGTCATAGCCTGCATTTCTTCTATTATATGACAAAAGGCATAGTTTTGTGCAACAACAGTATAGATTGCCTCCAACACATTAGCTGAGCTGCTTTTGATGTGGTGTGGGATCTCAAAAACCAAAATAATGCACAAATGAATAAATATAGTATATATTTCAAATACAGCAGTTGGAAGACTTTTGTTGTGTCAACTCGTTTGACGTAGGGCTAGTGGTGCAATGGCTAACACGTCTGACTACGGATCAGAAGATTCTACTAGCCCTGTGATAGACTGGCGACCTGGCCGGGGTGTCCCCTGCCTTCGCCCTAAGTCGGCTGGGATAGGCTCCAGCCCCCCATGACCCTAGTGAGGATTAAGCGGTGTATAGATGATGGATGGAACTCGTTTGACATTGCAAATCATTTTAGGAGATTGGAAATAACTCATGTCTACAGCCATGTGTGTAATATTAAAGAAATAGTTCAACATTTTGGAAGGTATGAAACTTCAAGGTCAACCTCAATGTCATGTCTGTGTTTTCAGCATGTATCTGGCATCGATATTGATCTTCTGGTTCTGAATCAGTTACTTTGTATTAATCACAGCATGTTTTGAAGATACTGAAGTACAAGTTGAAGTCACTCCAGTACTTCTGCATATGGTTTTGTAAATCAACACGAAACAGTTGGGGTAAAAAGAATTGATTAAATCTGTAAAATGCTTCAAATGTAGCACCACCCAGAATATGATACCTAATACCTACAGTTAGAGACGGAAAAGTATGTGAGAAGGACTGTGGTGACAGAGTGGACACATGGTCGAGACTGAAGCTTGAAGTTGTAATCTGTGCAGGTACCTTTCCACCAGAGGATTAGAAGAGCAAGGGGATTGACCCCAAGAGGACACAGGGATTACAATATGGAAAGGCTCTGGAGGTCAGGGAGGGTCAGACCTGCTCAGGTAGAAGAGGGGGAGGGAAAGTAGAATGAAGAGTGGGGGTTAATGAGGAGCTAGTGGCAAAAGTGTGACTAACAAAAGAGGGAAAGTGTGTGCACAGTGAAAATCAAATGCTATGACAGAGAAAGACAAATGAGCAAAGAAGCAAATATGCATCTAAATACATAAAAAAAAAAGATTAGGAATATAAGAATCATCTAAGAAAATGTCTGTAATTATACAAAATATCAATAAAAAAATGTCTTTTTCAAATTTTCAGTTTTATTCTCATCAATCTGGGAAAATGGAACTTCAGATTCATTCAGGGCTACATGATGCAGAGTTCTGTTGCACTGAATTTATAGTCATATCTTCAGTGTGTACTCCAACAAATTCAGGTATTTGTACCAATCAGTAACCAGGGTGGTGTTTGCTGTGACATAGTTCAGTTAATATGCCGGAGCACAATCAAAGGAATTCATATATAATATTTAATGCCTGAAGAACTAAACATCATCATGCAAGAGAGCCAATAAAATTCATTGGATAGTCAAAATCGTGATTATATTTAAGGTGCAGCATTTTGATTGACTCATGTGTTACACATTAGGGTCAAACACAAGATAACATTCTACCTAAAAAACCCACCAATGACTTTAATTCACTGTGTTTGGCTTTGAGCTGCAGAGTGAATGTAATTATTTTTTATACTTTGCTAGTACACGGTAGTTAACTCAGACTAGTTCATTCATTATTGATTTTTCTTCATTACAAAGTCTGCCTGTAACAGCTTGGATACCTCGTGCTGCATGTATAATGCCTGCAGGGAATGAAAGTTTGATTAGCTCTGCTTTCATAGACTAGCCTAGATAAACTTTACCCCCGCCTGCACTGCAACTTTTCCTCAGAATGAATGTTTGGAATGCTCAAAAAAAAAAAAACCTTCAAAGAGCTTGTGTCATTCAGCTGTATTGTCTAATGCCACTCTAACTACAATGTACTTATCCAAGGTATCATTTAATACTTACAGTAGGCTGAAAACATTCATCAAGATGAAACTGCTCATACAGTCAGTCTTATATTTGAGCTTGTCATCAATCATAGTTTACTCGTGTATGTAAACTTGCCACTCTTGGAACAAAGGTTACACAAACCTTCAAAACAAGCTGCAGAATAAACAATAGCACAATACAGGAGAGCCGGCACCTCAAGATGAGACTCTCATCTCATCTGAAGGAGAGGGAACTCTCCTTTGAGGACAGCAATGTTCACGTTCTGGGCAGAGAATAGTTTGACAGAGGAGTGAAGGAGGCCATCTATGTTAAACTTGAACAGTTAAACAGTGGAGTGTCTCTCCTCTGTTTAGGGATTAGCTGTTCCAAGACTGTAATGCAGTCTTGAGATTTTTCCCCAGAAAGTTTTACCATTTTTAACACTTTCATTCTTGACTTAGCAGCTTCACAACCATTCACACACACTTCTAGGCAGGCAAGTCTTTTTCGTTAATGGGTCATGTTATTATGTTATTGGCCATGTGAGTTTGGGGTGACAATATATGTATAGGTAAAAAAAAAGTCTTAAAAGAACAAAAGGACAAGTTCAGTTGCCTTCTACAGAAACTCTTAGGGATAACTGAGATCACAGCATCACCACCATTTTCATTAAAACAATGAATTATATGACCAAGGGGAAGCATGTTCACAGGAAAAAGGACAGGATCAAGAAGAGGCTTGAGGCACACTGTGTGACAAAATAGTGGCTGAAAGTGAGTGAAACATGATGGCCAGAACTTGGTAATAGAAGGATAGAGATACAATTGAACAACTTCCAGATGCTCACTCACTCACTCACTCACTCACTCACTCACTCACTCACTCACTCACTCACTCACTCACTCACTCACTCACTCACTCACTCACTCACTCATTTTAACCTATTCACAATACTGTGCTCAAAAACAGAATGTATGTCATTAGATAATAATACAGACACAAGATGACTGATCTCACAACTGAGGACACACAACCCCTACAGTAGATGTATTCAGCATTGTCTGTTCTGGTTTGTAGCCAAAAAGTTTGTGACAATAAACTTTATTTAAACTGATAAAAAAGGTTCAATTCTTTCAGGAACCTTTTCTTGATCACCATTATTTAAACTAACAACCAATGATTGTATTTCCTTTTACGCCTTTGGTTCTTACAGCCTTTTTGTTATTAATAAAAATATTCTTACAAAAAATGAAACATTTCCAAATTTACATTGTAATTTCTAATTTATGTTTATAGCACAACATTGCATTTAATTTCTATATTTATTCATAAAAATAAAAGATTACAATGTTCTACATTTGTATTTAATAATATGGTATTCTGCCTGTGTAGGTTACTATGTAAATTCTGCCAAATTGTGCACATTTGTAATGTGTTGAAAAGTTCATTGTACAATGTTCAGTTCAAGCACATCTGAAAGTTTCAGGCTTTTCTACTTTTTCCCAATAACACACTGCAACCAATCTGTGTTGGATATCATGAGTCATTAATGTACCATGAAAACCATGCAAAAAGTCAACATCACCACAGAGTTCATGTGACCTCTTCATCCAGGTCCTTTTCAACTATCTTTATATAAATGTTGTTTATTACAGACATGGATAAATCAGTTGAAATACCTTAATCTGATGTGCTTCATGACTTATGTCAAGTCATAGGCCATGGAGGGACAAGACCTGACCCAGCAGTGCTTAAGTTAATTTTCTAATCAGGCAAGCAACGGACCACCTCCTCACTCAATCATTGTTGATCCTGGCCTCTTACTTACATCAAGAAGACTTAAACTTAATCTGGAATCCCCTGACAGCCAGCTGGGACTTTTATAGTCTACAGGTGGCTAACACTTTCCTGGAGTCCACTGTAATCTTTGAAGTTCAAACACAGTTAGTGTCTGCACTGTGGACTGTGGGTAGGATGCATCTTAACCAGAATTGGAAATGACAACAACCTTCTGCTTCACAAAAGCAAGAGCAGGCCATGGTGGTCAAGCTGCCTGTACCTTGCAGACCTGAGAAAAGCCGCCAGCAAGCGTATCAAACACATAAAATGAGTCATTATGGGTTGTAGCATATTGCAAATGTATTGGAGTGACGGCTGAGGTGTTTCTGTGATT